TCATATAGCTGCCATACAAATGTTCGATAAAATTTTTTGAAAAAAAATTATAAATTGGCTGTTTTTCAATATTATTCCATCATTTTTGAGATATAGCCTTTTTATATTATTCCAGAATTTTGGTAAAAATTTTATGAAAATCGGACCACTATATCTTATAGCTGCCATAGGAACGATCGGGAAATTAATCTAACAAAATTATAACTTCGTTGTTTTTCAACGTATTTTAATCTACTTTGACACATGAGCTTCTTGTATTATTTCAAAATTTTGGTATAAATTTTATGAAAATCGGACGACTATATCTTATAGCTGCCATAGGAACGATAGGGAAAGTAATAGAAAAATTATAACTTCGTTGTTTTTCAACGTATTTTCATCTACTCTGAGATATGAGCTTTACTTATTATTATAGAATTTTGGTATAAATTTTATGAAAATCGGACAACTATATCATATAGCTGCCATAGAAGCGATCCGTAGATGTAGAGAAAATGTAAAGCTGGGAATGTATAACTGTAACTGTCAAACTGTAAACATAATAAATATAGGTAAAATGTTATGAAGCTCTGTTTAGTGTCTGTTTTCGGCATTATAATTTATAATATAAATATGAAAACCAATCTGCAAGGGTATACAAACTTCGGCGTGCCGAAGTTAGCTTCCTTTCTTGTTCTAAATTGAATTCATCAGGCCTGCTCCGGTAATCGAAAACGGCAAGAATTTTTCGTTTTCGTTTTTGAAAACGAGAAATTGGTGCTCCGGTAATCGAAAACGAAAGATTTTTTCGATTTGAAAAACGGGCACCTTTTTCTGGCCGGTATGAAAAGTAAATGGCTTTTTTTATATGAAATCAGATCTTATTTACAAAAGGAAAAAAATAGTTTACTCAGTGGTCTATTGATGTTTATTCCACACCACCATAAGATCATTCTGGCAGGTAGTTATTTTATAAAAAATTTATTTCTGACCCCACCTCAGATTTGACAACAAAATTTTTGCCGTGTTCAACCAGTTTTCTCGGTTTGGCGATAGGTCGATAAGTTCACCGCAAAAAGTTATCGCCAAGGTTGCCATATTGTTGGTGGAACGAAACATTCAGTTAAAAATACTTATAAAATATAAATGAATACATTAATAACTTTAAAGGACCGCCAAAATGGTTGTTTATAAATAATGCTATTTAATGTGATTACTTAAATGGTCCAAATTAACCAAATAATTATTTGAGACCACCGGAATTAAAACTGTGAAAAGTGTGGCAGCATCTTAGGTGCCTGGATTTGCTTAATTCTACCATTTTTTGCCTTTTTCTGGCTTAGAAAAAGGGCAATTGTAAATATAATAGGCAGTACTCCACGTTGTTTTCGTATTACCAACAACACAAGTTAGCTGCTTGAGCAGTGAGAAACGATGAGAAAACGAAACATCCGATAGCAGAAATTTGCCGAAAACCGGAGCAGCTAAAAACGAAAACGGTTCGTTTTCGCCCAAAACGAAATCGAAAAAATTTTACGATTACCGGAGCAGGCCTGCATATCTCTGCGCACAGCTCACTAAAAATTAAAAATGTTACCTCTATGTAAAATACCTAGCTAATCTAATCTAATCTTGCATTATTCGGCAAGATTTTTTCGTTTTCGTTTTTGAAAACGAGGAATTGGTGCTCCGGTAATCGAAAACGAAAGATTTTTTCGATTTGAAAAACGGGCACCTTTTTCTGGCCGGAATGAAAAGTAAATGGCTTTTTTTATATGAAATCAGATATTATTTACAAAAGGAAAAAAATAGTTTACTCAGTGGTCTATTGATGTTTATTCCACACCACCACAAGATAATTCTGGCACGTAGTTATTTTAAAAAAAATTTATTTCTGACCCCACCTCAGATTTGACAACAAAATTTTTGCCGTGTTCAACCAGTTTTCTCGTTTTGGCGATAGGTCGATAAGTTCACCGCAAAAAGTTATCGCCAAGGTTGCCATATTGTTGGTGGAACGAAACAGCCAGTTAAAAATACTTATAAAATTTAAATGAATACATTTATAACTTTAAAGGACCGCCAAAATGGTTGTTTATAATTAATGCTATTTAATGTGATTACTTAAATGGTCCAAATTAACCAAATAATTATTTGAGACCACCGGAATTAAAACTGTGAAAAGTGTGGCAGCATCTTAGGTGCCTGGATTTGCTTAATTCTACCATTTTTTGCCTTTTTCTGGCTTATAAAAAGGGCAATTGTAAATATAATAGGCAGTACTTTATGTTGTTTGCTTATTACCAAAAACACAAGTTAGCTGCTTGAGCAGTGAGAAACGATTAGAAAACGAAACATTCCGATAGCAGAACTTTGCCGAAAACCGGAGCAGCTAAAAACGAAAACGGTTCGTTTTCGCCCAAAACGAAATCGAAAAAATTTTACGATTACCGGAGCAGGCCTGATTATGATTTTATTACGTAAATTTTGTTTGCATATTTATAGGCTTACCGGAATTTTTGTAATCATCTTTTTCTTTACCTCAAAAAAGCTAAAAATACCCAAAAAGCAGTATACTGGTCATTCCATATAACGCTTTGTAGATTTTGCCTTACTGAGCCCTTAACGATAAGACTCGGAAGAACAATACAAAAAATAATAAATAATACTAAATTAGGACAGTACAGAACTATTGTCATTATGTTGGAGATTGAAGGGAAAGCATTACTTTTAATTGCCTCTAAAAATGTAAAATTTATTAAATACAATTAATTTAATTAAATAACTCTAAAAACCTTTGAAAATGCATTTATTTTAATGTCTTGTAAATCCCTTCCGCAAAAGCACAAAATCAACGAAATATATAAAATCGTATTTCAACTTGGTTTCACATGTTCTTCCACCAGAACAAAACTATTTACTTCATTATTTGCTAATTTTATTATGTATAAGAGCATTCTCTCCGCGAGCTTTGAATAAATTTCATTTGTTGGATTGTGGAATCCACTGCTTCCAACTTTTGCCCAGCAAAAAAAGTTGTTTTTGACGGGAAAAATTCAGAAAAAATGCTATAAAAATTTTCAAAAAAATCCATCTAAAGAAAAATGTATAAAAAAAAAAACGAAAAATGTCAAATAAATAACAATTTATTAAGGTATTTTTTTTGCTTAAAATATTTCCATAAACTTATTAATATCTTCTTGGTCGTCCTCATTTGTGTATGACATATTAGTACCTATCATGCGCAGATATTTTACAGGCACTTCATAGTCGAGGCATCGTTTTCCAATCCTTCGCAATCCTTATCTGTATATTAAAATAGAAAATTAATACAGTATATCTTTTGCTTGTAAACAACACTTTACCTTTTGCTTACAATGTATTTATACGTGCTGAGGCCTATTGAATTCCGTAATTTGGATTTAATTACATAGGTTAACCTGGCTAAAAACGCTTTCTATTTCCGCGTTTGACCAGGGCAAACATAATATTTGGATGGCCACAGTTAATTGGAGCTCCTCAAACTAAAATTTGTTTGTGTCGCTGATGTATTCCCACTTGATCAAATTGACGTTATTGTATTGGCGTTCAATTTCTGCATTATTCTTACATTCCACATTGGGCCAGCGAACCGATATATCGACGAAAATTCAAATTTTTCATAGAAAGTAAACCTATTTTAATAATAAAATTTGAAAAGTATATACTTTGACTAAATTGAATCAAAAGATTTTAATTGTTTTGATGCATCCCGGAAATTTTGGCGTCCCTTCAAAGTCAACTCTTTGATTGCGTGCGTACGAAACTCAAAAACGCGAGAAAGATTTTGTTTACTTGCGAGCGCGACAAAATTGTTGTGCTTTAAGCAATTTTCACTAAAATTATGGAAAAGAAAGGGAAAGGTATGTAGAATATTCGTATTAAAAAAGATTTTGTTCATGTTTGTTAATGTGTTCTTTGTGTGCGTTTATTTGTGTTGTCCAAAAGTATTAAAAAGCTAACCTGGTAACCCATCTGTTGTAGACTATAACAAATTTTGTGCCAACTTGTGCCAAAAAGTAAATATGTGTCATTAAAGTGCAAAGCGTATATAAACTAATTTTATTAAGCTTTTTTGCATCTTTTTGCACCTATATATATAAATCCGACATATTGTAGCTGTGTTTGAGATCACCTATGCGCAACTGTTTGATGTCTATATAGAAAACAATCTTAGAGCATCTGCCGTAACGAGTTGGATTTATGATGAACTGATAGAACTCGACTTAAGCACGGAGCAATAGTGATAGTGATTTAGATTCTGACTCTTAAAATCCGTTTTCAATAGAACTTGACGTAGAAGACGACTGTTAGGAACATTTTAAAATGAAAAATACTTTTTTATATTCATTTTGAATGCATTGTCATTTTTTACTTATTAATATTAAGGTTAAGTGTTAAAAAAATTAATTTTAAACATTTGTTGAATTTAATTTATTTATTACCGTACAAATATCAATAAGAGGAAACCTATCATATATGGGCGGCTAGGGAAGGCGTGGTCTGATCGGTCTGAAACTTATATATGTTTTTATGTGAATCGACACTAATATATGTACCAAATTTGAAGAACCTAGCTTTAGAACTTTAATTTTCGTCGAACTATCGGCTCGCTGGCCCAATGTGCATTCCAGGAACTCTAGAATTTCTGTGATGCTGACACTTTTGCATATTTTGTACTTAAGAGTTAACAAGACAAAAAAAGTCGGGAAAAAGCCTACTTAATTTCTAAAAAAGCCAGAATTCCCGCTTTTCCAAATTCCCGCAATTCACAAATTTTTCCCGCAGTTAGTCTTAAAAAAAAAACAGTTTTGAAGGGAAAGTATCCAAATTGGCAGCACTGGTGGAATCCTTTCTAGAGATGCATAAACATCGATGTTGGAAAAAATACATCGATGTACCGCCTTTAAAAAAAAACATCGATACTACCGATAGTGACATCGATGTTTTTGCATCTTTAATGTACATACATACGTACATATTTACATACATATGTATGTACAAAGTAATGTTTGTGGACTCTTTTAGTAGTCCGGTTATCGTACAGCTTTTGTATACGTAGTACATACATATGTACATTTGTGATATGTATGTACAAAGCTTATAGAAATATCAAAGGTTAACTGGTATATTACGGAACGTAACTTAAAATTGGTTAGCCTTTTTCGAGAAACGCGACATCAACATGAGGTTCCCCAACAATGGAAAGGTTTTATTAAATATGGCAAGTGTTTGGATTGCACCTTTAACTTAACATAGCCCAATAATCTCCTTTACCATTCCATTCGGCTTAAAGACAAATGCACCGCTTCTTCAACGAACGAAACAACTGCTTCCAGCTAGATATAGCAGCACCAAGGAATCGTTGTCGGATCCGAAGCAGTTAAATCTTTTGCCTTACCATGTATTGCCGCTTAAAGAAACCCTAAGTCGATTTATGAGTACTGTTGAACCTCTGCTAACACCTACGGAAATGAAGCGGCAAATGAAAATCACTGAAGAGTTCCTAAATGGAGAGGGCAGTAGTCTACAGAAACTCTTGGAGGACGTTGGTAGCAAAGAAAAAAACTGGTTAGCAGACCGATGGCTAAAAGCTGCATATTTGCAATACCGATCTCCAGTTACCGTGTTTGTTAGTCCCGGCATGACCTTTCCTCGACAAGTCTTTAAGGATGAACATGATTTTCTCGCCTACACGTCTAAAGTTATTTTTGGCTTGGGTGAGTTCAATGACATGGTAAAAGCCCATCAGATTCCAATTGTCAAAATGGGCAATAATGAGTTGGACAATAGCCAGTTTGGTAAAGTATTCGGTACATGTCGGATACCACGGCGGGGTACAGATGAAATAGTATATAATCCATGCTCCAATTATGTGGTCGTAATATATAAGAATCATGTAAGTAAAATTCAACACATATTATATATATATATATATATATGATATATGACATAGTTTAAAGTATACCAAAATAAAATTTCTAACAAAAAAAGGTGAGTAAGTTTGGGACGCCGAAGATTGTATAGCCATGCAGTTTGCAATTGAATATATTCATTGCGCTCAATTAAAAAAAAACAAACAAAGAAAAGAAATATAATACAATTATAGATCATCAAACTTTTGCTTATGCTGATTTTCTTAGGTCTCATATCTACCGACAGATTTAAAATATGTAATAAAAAAAAACAAAATAATCTCAAGTTTCATTACATTTACTTATACTTATTATATTTACGGTTTGACAGTTACAGTTTTACACTCGCAGCTTACATTTTTTTTTTCTCTACTGATCTACTGATTGTTCCTAAGGCAGCTATATAATAAACTTCTGCATGAGTGTACTCATTTGTAGCATAACAGATCTGTACAGTAGTGTAGAGTTTTTAAAAATACTGCACCCAATCCTTTCTGTTCAGTATACTCTATAGGCCAGAAGTAGATAGCACAACATTTTTAGTGTGCCCACTTTGCGTGAGTGCAGTATATGGTTGTACCCTTCGGGAGTGAGTACAATAATTGCTGTACAGCTTGTTAGTTGTACAGCTTGTTAGTTGTCTGAGTACAACTGTGCAGATGAGTTCAGTATTCTTTAATAAGTGCATAAAAATGGTACATAAAATAATGTTTCTCCATTCTAATATTAATAATTTAAATATAAATTCTTTAATAAAATATAATTCTTTATAAGAAATACATAGTACACACGAGAACTCTATATGTGTGCATGTACCAGTCATGAAGTTTCACTCACTGTACAATAAGTCAACTGCACACCAAAACACTGTACAGTGTCTTGACTACTGCACACCATTTTTGCTGTACTCATAAACAGCTGTACAACTATGGAATGAGTGAGAAAACTGTCTGTCAAAACAGACAATACTACCCTACTCACTCACACCCAAGTATACTGTGCAGTAAAAAGTGTGTTCCCGTTTCTAGAATAAGTGATTCATTTGTCGTTTTGGATGCATTCATGCAGAAGTCTACTATATGATACAGTTGTTCGATTTTCAGAAAATTAAAGCCAAAATTCTAAAATAATAAATAAATATAAAAAAAATTTTTCAGTTGATGAAAATACGTTGAAAAACTACTAAATTATATTTTTTTATTACTTCCCCGATCGTTTCTAGGGCGGCTAGTTCCGACATTTATAGCAGTGAGCGTAGTCAGAAGACTCTAAGCTAAGTTTCATTCAGATAGCTTTAAAACTGACAGACTAGTTTGCTTAGTAACCGACAGACGGACATGGCTAGATTGACTCGGCTGTTGACGCTGATCAAGAATATATATACTTTATAGGGTCGGAAACGTCTCCTTCGCTGTGTTGCAAACTTTTGACTAAAATTATAATATGTACCCTGAAAGGGTTTACAAATTGCGAACCCGTTATTGAAACCGCATTCATTTTTGTGAATAAGTAAATGAAAATAGGCAATTTATTTATTTTACTTTTAAACGAAACAAATAACAAATACATATTTTGCTTTAAATATTTCCATTGCAGTTCTACAAAATGCAGATATACGATAAAGAGGGAAAACTGATTGCTGCTTCGGCCCTGGCATTTCAATTGGAAAAGATCTTGAAAACTGAGACGACAGTTGGTGTTGCCTATGGAATTCTGACCACGGACTCAAGGGACAACTGGGCAGATGCCTATAAATACTTGTCCGATATACATGTCAACAGAGATGGCCTAAAAACCATCCAAGGTGCGTTGTTTACTGTGTCACTCGACCAATGTACCACTTTGAAGAAAGGTGAAGAGGACGACGAGCTAATATCCTCATTGATTCATGGAAGTGGTAGCAAAATCAACAGTGGCAACAGGTGGATGGACAAGACAATTCAATTGGTTGTTAATCCAAATGGTAATGTTGGATTCACTTACGAGCATTCTCCTGCCGAGGGCCAGCCTATTGCAATGATGATGGACTATGTAATGAAAAAGTTGTATGTAATTCGATAAGCTTGGTTATTTTAGGTTAGCATTTACATTATACATTTTTGTCTTAGGAAGGAGGATCCTAATTTCGGAGAATGCGGTTCCAAAGACGTGATTCCTACCGATAAAATACAATTTTGTAAACCAAATGATCGCATTGGACAGTGGCTGAATATTGCGCAACAAAATCTTGATGAGCTGGCCAAATCACTTCAGATAAAAGTTATCAAGTTCGATAAATTTGGAAAAGATTTTATAAAAAAGCAGCGCCTGGGTCCAGATAGTTTTATTCAGATAGCGTTGCAGTTGGCTTTCTTTAAGTAACCTCGTTTATTAACTGTATTTAATTTCATTCCTTTCATGTTGTATATTAATATTTATTTGCAGAATGCACTTGGAGCCAGCTGCGCAATATGAGTCAGCACATTTGCGTATATTTGAAGGAGGTCGGACTGAAACTATTCGGTCTTGTTCTAATGAGTCAATATCCTTCTGTCGGGCTATGCAAAATAATTCGGAAGCCACGGATGAGGAACGCGCTGAGAAACTTCGTGCGGCAGTAATGAGTCACCAGATGTATGCAAAGCTAGCACTGCAAGGCAAAGGCGTCGATCGCCACCTACTCGGACTAAAGGTGATGGCTATGGAAAATAATCTGCCTATCCCAAAGTTTTTTTCATCGCCGGGGTTTGTCAAATCGAGTCATTTTCGCATGTCAACCTCACAGGTCGCTACGAAATATGATGCATTCATGGGGTATGGACCAGCTGTTGACGATGGATATGCGTGTTGCTATAATCCTCGCGACAATGACATAATATTAGCTATATCCGCTTGGAGTCACTGTAAGGTGACCGATCTTTTGGTTTTTACGAAGACTCTTGAACAGTCTTTCCTTGAAATGAAGGACATTTTAGATAACTCGCAACAGAGTTCTCATAGCCCGATAAGCAAATTGTAACGTGCGCAAAAAAAATGACGTATTAATTTTGATTAAAACAGGGACGTCCCTAAAAGCTGAAATAAAACTTAATTTGGCGGGACTTTAACCGTGACGAGCGATAATAATTGGTTTTCCTTGTAAATTAGTACTAAGACATGTTAGTTAATTTAGCAAAGTGAAATGATGTAGAAGTATTTTTGGAGAGCTTAGAATGGGAACACAGTGCAATGAGGTTGATGGCAACATTTGGAGAAACTGCTACTCGGCATTGTCTGAGGGGACCCTTCCCCCATATGGGAAAAACTTAGCCAAACCTTATTTTAATTTTGTGGGAAAATTAAACGGCTTCGGTTATCATTATTATATTCGTTTATTATTTAAGAATTCTAGAATGTCATCTACAACATGGCAACTTGCAATTCCACACATTTAGCAGTGGACTGTAATCGTGGGCACTATTTAGGGTGATACAAATTTGTACTGGTAGAGAAACCGTTACAAGTGTGTCCTTTCACCCCATCCCTAATTGAGCATGTCGTCGCACGCGCTCTATCTAATGTAGGTGGAATGAGGGTAGGAAAATTTGGTTGCTCTGATCCTCTTTCCGACTGACTGCCCTTCAGAGGGAAAACAAGTAACATTTTTATACCCTTGCAGGGTATTATAATTTCAGTCAGAAGTTTGCAACGCAGTGAAGGAGACCTTTCCGACCCTATAAAGTATATATATTCTTGATCAGCATCAACAACCGAGTCGATCTAGCCATGTCCGTCTGTCCATCTGTCTGTTTCTACGCAAACTAGTCCCTCAGTTTTAAAGTTATCTGAATAAAACTTTGCATATAGTCTTCTATATACTCTCACTGCTATATATGTCGGAACGGGCCGGATCGGACGACTATACCACCATTTTTGAGATATGGCTAATTTATGTTTCGGTTTTAATTTTATAAAAATCGGACGACTATATCTTATAGCTGTAATAGGAACGATTGGGAAATGAATACAAAAAAATTAAACCTTCGTTGTTTTTCAACGTATTTTCATCTACTCTGAGATATGAGTTTTATTTTAGGAAAATCGGACAACTATATCATATAGCTGCCATGGAAGCGATTGGTAAATGTAGAGAAAATATATAACTGGAAATGTAAAGCTGTAACTATCAAACATTCACTAGAATTGCTCGATTCTTAATTATCCAATTGCAATCTGCAAGGGTATACAAACTTCGGCGTGCCGAAGTTAGCTTCCTTTCTTGTTTTTTGTTCTGATTTACAGTAAATTTCTCGAATTTTCACTGCGAGTGCTGACGAATCTGAATCCTGCTGCAAACATTTTCTTCTTAGAGAAGTTCAGCCGTCCGAAACATGGATCAATTTCCAGGAGAAGCACTGGCCAGGGTTTATCGCGGCGGCGACTTCAAACGGCCGTACAAACAAGGGAGCTCACCTGCCCTTTTCTAGGATTTCTGGCCGGCTCCTCTCAAGCTGGGGATAAAGTTATGTATCGCCCACAAGAATATAATTTCTCTGCAGGGACCGCTTAAAAACTACTTCCTCTGACACGCTGCTGCGCGGGGTGGTGAGGGTGACGCTCTTTTGGTGTACAAGGTCCAGATGCCTTTCTATCAGGGACCGTAAATAATGATTATCAATGTTTTCTTTAAACAAAAAATTCATCCACTTGAAAAAGCCGAAAATAAAACGAATTATACCAATCGGCTACAATTTGGATGCTCTTTCAAGATAACCAATGGTCAGTGATGTCATTTCCGCTTTTTTCCCGTCAAATTCAGCTGTTTTTGAAGCATGATTGCTGGAAAATTTTTAAAAGAGCGGGCAGCGGGAATTCCAGCTTTTTTAGAAAATTGAGATGCTTTTTTCTTAATTTTAATTTTAATGCATTTTAAGTGCTGTTTTAAATGTGTTTATTGTTTTAAATTTATATTGCAACATTATCTATATATATGTCGGAGATAACCGTTCTTTAATCCCACCGTTGTCGAGCTAGCCAGTTCTGTTCGCCTGCGCAGTCAAATCGTATCTGTCATCACGCCACTTTTCCTGTGGCCCTTTCACCTTTTCTTACTTTTCACTCATACGTCAATTCTAGACAATCTCAAGCTGTCTCTCTCACTCTCTCCTATTGTTGCGACAGACGAACAGACCTCACTCAGTAACATACAGTCTTCTGTCCTTGTCCTGTTACCGACTCAACTGTCATTGCGCCTGCGCGCCAGCGACACCTACAGGGCTACCAATACCTGAGCATGCCGAATAATTCTGTTGCAACAAGCATTCCAAATTTGCACTTATCAACTAACTTTCCGACATATACGACATACGTACTTAAATCGAATAACATCATGCAAAAGTCCACACCTATATTTGACGCGTCTTCCATGATGCCGTTACGGCATTATGATGACATAAAACTAATCCCAATGCAAAATGTCGACGACACTGTTAGCTTTTGGAATGAAGTGCTAACTTACAAGGACAGTGGCGGAAACGTTTTAAGGGACAGGCATTAGTTGCGTTAGAAACGCTGACCCTTCCCTGGTCAAATGCCGAGGTTTTTCGGGTGTTCAGCCAAATTAAAGCCTAGTAGTACTAGGCTAGTACTCTGACGACGAAAATCCGCTGTAACATGTGTTATAGCAGAATCGCTGAATATTTTGCTCTGTAACCAGTGTGACCAAAAAAATTAAGGAAAAGCCATGAAACGTCATGAAAATGTACCTTTTATGGCGTTTTGGGCTTTTCTTTGGTCACACTGGACAGCTGTTTGTAAACGAATTTTTTAATTAATATGGCATAAAAACGCCCTTTAGGGTTAAATCCCATATAATGGTCTTCGCCTTGACAGCCCTTATCAATGCCACTTTTTTCCTTGAACTTGTCTTCCATTAGGAGTGTCAGAATAAATAAAATGAATTATTGCAATAGCACCATATCAGCTGTTTGCTCTCTTGATCTAGCAACGCCATTCAATTTTCGCAGGTATCATTTTCGTCATCAGAGTACCGGCAAAATCGACGAGGCAAAAAGTTCTTCTTCTTCCTTTTTTCACAGAGTCTTTTTTATGGAGTTTGGCCGCTATCACAATTGTTACAGCGGATTTTCGTCGTCAGATTAGGCCTAAACAAACAAAAAGTGGTTTTTAAAAAATCAGCTTTTTTCTTAGTTTTTTTCTGTATTAAATTCCGCTTTTTTCAGCTTTTTTTTTGTTAATCCAGCTTTTTTTGCTAAAAAAAAATGACATCACTGCCAATGGTTCGTTTTTTAGTTAGTTAGTTTTTTAGTTTTACTTGCTCGCTCAAAGAATAATTATTATTTTGAGCGAAAAAAGTTCGATCAAAAAATAATGATTAATTTTTGAGCGAAATTTTTTCGCTCAGTATTTCGCTCAATGTATTAATTTTTTTTTTTTATTTAAAAATGTGATTTTTGGGTTCGTTGACCACGATTGACCAACAGATGGCGCTAGCGAAGTATCTTTTGGGCGAACAAGCGCTACATAATAAAGAATTGCTTCGAGATAAACATGTTTAAATTTAAATCTTAAGATTTTAGAATCGAGCTCGCTCGATTTTTAACAAATTTAAAAAAAAATGGTTTAGAAATTAATAAGTAATCGATTATTAGGTGCTTGTGAAGGTAAATTCAGAAAGAACGTCATGACATTTTTGGCACGGGGGAACGTTATTGGATATGCAGGAGCGCTTAAACGGATTTGGTGGTACGGTCACGATTTGGACTGAAGGAGACATAACTTGGAAAGTCAGAAGAAGACAGTACCGATTATCAATTCTCTCTCTAAGTACAATCGTGGACATAAGTATTTTGACACAGCTTATAGCTATATTCCAGCGAGTGTCTCTTTGTACTCGTAAAAGTTACGGGATCGATTTCAGTTTCCAAAATGAGATTCTATTTAAAACATTAAGGCTACAAACATAGTGCACGCTGAGACGAAGCTGAAAATTAAGACGAAGCTGAAGACGAATTGCTTGCGATGCGAGTAAGCTAATAGGTTGCATAGTGGAAGACGAATTTGTTGCGATTTTGTGATGTTAGTCGCTATTGATTTCTCATCAACATCCAATTCCTTTGAAATATCATTCCAATTCTGGTCCACAATATGCCTATTGTAGTATAGTTTATTCTGCTGGTCCCATAAACATTGTTTTTTAAAAACGGCTGCAATTAATTCATCATTTATTATAGACATTTATACAAAACATGTGCTTCAGGAAAATCGCAAGTCACAAGTAAATTGCAGTGTTGCCAAATGAAAATTTGGCTCTCCCCCTATCTCAAAAAGTTGAAATTTTCCCCTACAAATTCCAGTTTTTCCCCTAAAATGTAAAAAAAAAAGAAGAACAACTCAAAATAGCAAGCGATTCGTCTTTAAAAACAGTACTGCTCCGTTTGAAGCTGATCGCTTGCGTTTCGTCTTCATCTTCGTCTTCGTCTCAGCGCGCACTATGTTTGCGGGCGAGCGAATTCATATGAATTGTTCTGCACTGTTTTTCGTCTTCAGCTTCGTCTTCATTTTCAGCTTCGTCTCAGCGCGCACTATGTTTGTAGCCTAAGAGAGCAAAATATGACACTGATAAGTAAATTAACTTCTTTGCTATGATGTGAGAGATCATGCATATTTGGGTGGTCAAAAATATTTTGGCATTGCATTCAATCTGTTCTCATTTGTTTCGTGCGCAATAAAAACAGTTTATTATTATTATAGAATAGAATTTACTGCAGATTACCCAAAAATAATTGCAAGAAAGTGCGACCTCGAATTCAACGCAGTGTCATGTTTTGGGAATGTATCTGCCTTAACGGTCTCGGTGATTTGGACGATGAATTTGCATATCCTGATTGACCACGCATTGCTTGTCGGCGTTAGACTTATTGGGCAAGACTTTATCCTGCAACAGGATAATGTTCCATGCCATAAAGCAAAGATGATAACAACATTTTTGAGGGACTTGGAAGTAAAATCTTTAGATTTAAGAGGAGTCCAAGAACTCGAGAGGAGACAATTGATGAAGTCGAAGGACTATGGAAAGAAAATTTACCTTGAAATTTCGTAAAATCTGTTCCAGCACGATTACAAAAGGTAGTAGATGCCAAAGGAGGGTTTATTTTTTTTAATAATTTCTATTCGAAATACATTCGACCTTCATCGAGTGCAGACGTGCCTACGGACAACCGCTACGCAGGGTTCATTCTTGTAGTGTTTTTCATGGTAAAAAAGTAAATTCGGAACTCTAAACTACGTACTGTCAGTTAGGCCAAGCCCTACAGTACGTATGACATACGGACACTAGTGCGTGAGACGTGTTTTTGAGCT